TGTGCTCTTCCGATCTCCCCAAAACCCCAAAACCCCTGAATAGCTCTTTCTAAAAGTGAAGGGAAGATAGAATAAAAATTTATTTGCTAAGAAATTTATAATACTGTTAAGAAATGATAATTTAAAACTTTGTATTTCTTTGCTAGTCTTAAATGCTCAAGATCAAATGTTTATATTTTGCCATTTCCTCGTTCATTTCTCCTGTTCAGACTTATAGTTATCATCTTCCTCGTTATCTAATTGCTCATCATCAAGATTCAAGTCATCTTAATCAATATTTTTAGACTTGCTGTTCTTCCTCTCTGAGTTATTAAACTCAATACTAGGTTCACCTGCTATCTAATCATCTAACAATAGATTTTTCTCGTCGTTTCCTTAACTAGAGTCTTCATTGAAATTGGAGTCCATACAACAGAATACAATGCATAAGCATTTTAGACATGGATTTTTTGGAACATTTTTCTTTTAGCCTTATAATCTGAGATTATCTTATTGACTATTTTACTATGTGCTATTATGATTTCCCTTGGAATCAACATTTTATCCAAGATTACCTGATTTTGAGGTGTGCTCTGCTTTCAGAATATCATCATTACTCTATTGCTATTGTGAAGCTTCTTCCTCATCGTAATCTTCATCATCAACATATCTCTTTTTACGCTTGCAGCAACCACAGCAGCAAACTAGTAAAAATATTTCAAAGATTGAAAATCCTCCAGTTTTTACTCCATCTGCCTCATCCTCCTTTTAGCAAAATTTGTACATCATGCATGCATTTATTGACCATAATATACAAGGAATTCCAATCATTAAAGCAATAACCGTTCCAAATCCAATATAAATCTCTTCAAGTTCTCTATTAATATAACCAGCACAATCAGCTAGATCAACTGCACATGTTGTATCCAGACAGCAAGTTGATGTGCAGTCTAGTCCACGAGAAGCGCAACTTGCAGAGTTTGCCGAATTGGATCTCTTTTTCTTCCCTCTGCCTTCGACCTAGTTGGCAGAAAAGATCAAAGCTACAATGAATAGAACTAAGATTAACCGACTCCTAAATTTTCTTGAAGAGATTAGCATAATTATATTATTTGTATAATTATAATATTCTCACTCCTATCAGTATATCACGTAAATTATTCTATACAATCTTTTTTTGAAGCTTAATTCTAATTCTCTGCAAAAAACATTTTTAGACTAATGGGGTTTTGGGGTTTTGGGGTTTTGGGG